GCTGATCCTCATAGTCTGTCTTGCTCGAGAAAGGGTTTCTTTTGTTTACACTGTATTTGCCCACCTGGCTGGCCCAGGAGTTTCTAGGACTTCTGGCTCTGCCTCCCATCATGTTTGGGGAGTGCTGGGAGTACGGAAGCAGTTTACTGTGCTCGGCTGTACAGTGGTTCTGGGGCTTCAAACACATTTCCTTATGCTTGTTCAGCAGACACTTTACCCACTGAGTCAGCTACTCAGCCCCTACCTGGATGTGTGTGTGCGCGTGTGCATGTGCGTGCGTGCATGCGTGTGTGTGTGTGTGTGTGTGTGTGTGTGTGTGTGTGTGTGTGTGTGTATGTGTGAGTGTGTGTGTGTGAGTGTGTGTGTGTGTGTGTGTGTGTGTGTGTGTGTGTGTGTGTGTGTGTTTGGTTGGTTGGTTGGGTTTGGGGTTTTGTTTGTTTGATTGATTGATTGATTGATTGATTGCATTTTAAGACAGGGTCTCCCTATGTAGCCTTGACTGGCCTAGAACTCTCTTTGTTGACCAGACCGGCCATGAACTCATCAAGATCTCTGCCTCCCACATGCTGGGATTAAAGGCATGTACCACCACACCTGGTTCCTCCCCCACTTTTTACAGGAATGCTGGGAATGTGAGCTCCAGTCCTCATATTTGCTTAGTAAGTGTTCCAGCTACACAGCCATCTCCAAAGCTCCACGAAGTGCTTGCTTTTGGACAGACAGCCTTAGTTACTGGACCTCTAGCAGGCAGAATCCCTGCAGGGAGATTCAAAGCTACCTGGCCAGAGCTCCTGGGACCCAACCAACAGACAGAACCATCAGAGTCCCAGAGCCCATCAGGAGCTGACAGATCACTCTGTGTGTGCTCAGCAGATAATTAGCTTATATGCACTAGGGACCACGGACACTTTGGGAAAATAATTATAACAGGTCAAGAGCTCAGCCCAGACAAAATCAAATGAAATCATACTGGCTGCTGAGGTCAGAAAAGAACTGCCCTGGTCTCTGAAATCTCATCAAAGTGATTAGGAAAAGACAGCGAAGGGTGAGAAGGGGGAAGACTGAGAGAGGGAGGGCAAAGGTCAGATTTCTGCCCATGATGGTAAATACCGACTGCCCACTTGGCAGGCTCTGGCATCACCTAGTAGACAAGCCTCTGGGCAAGTCTGTAAGGAAGTTTCTAGACTGATGTTGGAAGACTCACTCTCAATGTGGGTGGCACTAAATAAGAAGGCGAGCTGATCACCAACGCTCTCACACACTGTTTCCTGCCTGTGACTGTACAGTGACCAGCTGCCTCAGGCTCCGGCCACCATGCTTTTTCCCACCATGAGGGACTGTACCTTCAAACTGTGAACCAAAAGGACCCTTCCTTCCCTGAGTTGCTTTTGTAAGGTGTTTTAGCATGGCAACAAGAAAAGCAATAATACACTGTCTCTAATTAAACTGAGGGGGTTCTGGGAAGATGTAGACCCAGCCTGCCAAAAACATCCCACCTCTGTCTTCTCACAGAGAAAGTGACAGAGGTCCATTTTCCAAGCATGTCCTGCTTATTGCCATACACACATTCTAGTCCCTCTCCTCCTTGAAGCTGGTTAGGAATGAGGATTTCAAAATAAAACACGAACATCCCAGTGCACAGCTTTGGAATTTCTGAGAGACCGCTCAGAAAATCAGTTATTTCTGTGTAAGCAGTAGTTGTATGCCGAGATTTCTGCTAGGCTCAGAAGCAGTGGGTAAAACCAGAAAGTCTCCCCCGGCCGTTGATGGTTGGGCTCTCAGTTTTGAAGGAGAAAAGTAAGGCATATGAAAGAATTGCTCATGCACGTGAAAAGCCAGAAGCAGCTGTAAGAAGTGGCACACCAAAGGGATGAGTGCGGAGGAGCAACTGCCCAGCCCAGCGGAGTATGGGGGTTGGTGTGTGCCCGGATGTAAGAACAATAACCGACTAAAGGTATACCTGTTCTTCATTATCACCACTGTCAGAACTGTAAAGACTGTCCATGATAATTCGTTCTTCTGCACAGCAACAGATGGTCTTGCCGCACCCTCCCCCCATATGCCACTGCTGTTAATTAGAAATGAGAAAAGGGTGGGGGAATTAACACTGACTTGATTTCAGTAGTCAAGAAAGACATTCTGGATAAGGAGAGCCCAAGGTTAAGCCTTGACCTGGGAAGAGGGTTTGAAAATCAAGGGGCATTGTAGAGACTCGAGTCAAGATACCATTCTGCGTCCCCCAAGGCAAAGAGTCCTTATTGGTTTCCAAGCATGGGTGGGATTAGGAGCAGGTCTCTATGGATGGTCTAGCTTCCTGTGGCATTCCCACACAAAGAATCATGTCTCGTCAAAGCAGACCTGATCTGTGCCTGGGGCATCTGAAAACTCCAGGAGAGATTCTTAGACGAGAAAGGAAATACAGTAGGATGCTTGATGAAGTTCTCATACCCAAGCTCTGAAATGAAATGAGAAAGCCCTTTGAGACATCAAAAACAGAAGGGCAACAACAGAGTGTTTGCCATAATTTGCTGTGGGATGTTCTGTATGGCAAATGTGTTGCTGATTAGTCAATAAATAAAACACTGATTGGCCATTGGCTAGGCAGGAAGTGTAGGCAGGACAAGGAGGAGAATAAAGCTAGGAAGTGGAAGGCTGAGTCAGAGAGACACTGCCAGCCGCCACGATGAGAAACAGCATGTGAAGATGCCGATAAGCCACGAGCCATGTGGCAAGGTATAGATTAATGGAAATGGATTAATTTAAGCTGTAAGAACAGTTAGCAAGAAGCCTGCCACGGCCATACAGTTTGTAACCAATATAAGTCTCTGTGTTTACTTGGTCGGGTTTGAGTGGCTGTGGGACTGGCAGGTGAGAGAGATTTGTCCTGACTGTGGGCCAGGCAGGAAAACTCTAGCTACAAGAATTCACAGAACAAGCAGCAAAAACTAAGAGGCTATGTCCTCTGGGCAGTTTGTGTTCTCTCTCTCTCTCTCTGTCTGTCTCTCTCTCTGTCTCTGTCTCTCTCTCTCTCTCTCTCTCTCTCTCTCTCTCTCTGTATGTGTGTGTGTCTGACTCTGTGTCTCTGTGTCTCTATCTCTGACCTCTGTCTCTCTGTCTCTGTCTCTGTCTCTCTCTGTCTCTGTCTCTGTCTCTGTTTCTCTATCTCTGTCTCTCATCCTTTCCACACTCCCCCAATTCAAAAGCAGCTCACTTCTCAGCAGGGGGACTTGAGAGGCGGCTCCATGTCACAAATGACCGTCAGAAAGGAGAAGGATGAATCTCACTGTCTAACTCCAGAGGCAGAATTAGGCTCCGTGGGTAGAAATTATAGGGAGGAAGATTTCAATACACGCTTAGCCTGGTGGTGTCTTGCCGTTCCAGATACCACCCTGTACGGCACACTGTCTAAGAGATAGAGAGTGCCCAGGCATTACACAGGATTAAAAACAAACAGATGGATGGCCACTTACCAGAGGACTGGAGGGTGCAATATTCTACCAATGAACTTTGACCTCAGGGGTCACCTGAAGATGTCTCTTTAAAGCCAAAGTCTTATGATTCCAAGTTTCATCTTTGTTTTTGTTTTTTTGTTTTTTTGTTTTTTTTGTTTTTTGTTTTTCGAGACAGGGTTTCTCTGTGTAGCTTTGCGCCTTTCCTGGAACTCACTTGGTAGCCCAGACTGGCCTCGAACTCACAGAGATCCACCTGGCTCTGCCTCCCAAGTGCTGGGATTAAAGGCGTGCGCCACCACCGCCCGGCTCAAGTTTCATCTTTGACCAAGCTCTATTACACTACCCACTATCCAGCCTTACCTTACTAGTCCTGGAAATATAAATAATCTTTGGGGACACGCTCTCCCTGTTAGCCTGCTTGAACCCCACACTAGAGGGAAGCCATATTTTCTCCTGTTTTATTAATAGTCAGGGTTAGTAAGGACACTAAGTTCAGAAACAGGAGGCCTAGGGTCTGCTCTGAAGTCAGTCAGTCAGGAACTCTGAACTCTTAAGTAAATCTCCTCTCCACCCACTTACTATCCACAGCTATCTAATAAGGTAAAATAGTCAAAGTCGTCCTCACTCAGCCAATCAGTTCACTTCCTTCACACTTCATGGAGAACACAGAAGCAATCAGGTGAGAACCACCTCACTCTCCCCTTCTCCCCCTGAAGTTCACACTCTACCTCCTCTGCTGGCACAGAGAAGCGTCTGCCCTCCTTACCGGAGCCCACTTCTCTGCACGTGCTCTGACTTCTAAGTCTGGCGGGGCATGTGAGTCCTGACACGAGCTTCTCTCTTTCCTGTATCAACAACTTTCTCCTCGTCCATCATCCACATTTGGACTTTATGCAAACCCCAGCTTTTGGAAATCTATCCTATAAAAGCATTTATGAAACAGAAAAAAATAAATTCTAAATATTTAATAGTATTGAGGATTTCTTTTGATTTAGGTATAGTAATGTTATTATGATAGCTAATTGTGTGTTTGGTTGATTGGTTTTGACAAGGTCTCACTCTATGGCCCAGAATTCATAGTGATTCTTTTACCTTAGCCTTCTGGATGCTGCGATTATAGAATGTAAGCAACCACAGCTGGGTGATTTAAAAAAAAAAAAAATTTCTTTAAAATAATCCAAGGAAGTGGAGTGGAGTGGTGTATGACTATAATTTCAGTACTAGGTAGGAGGATTACAAGTTCCAGGCCAGTCTGGGGTGCATAATGAGACCTCACTCAAAGACAGAAGGAGCAGGTGAGTACAGATAGAACCATGCTGAACACACATCGTTAGTCGTTAGGTTTCACAGGTGGTGCTCTGTTATAATACAGGCTGGGTGTCTTTAATCTGAAAATCCAAACTCTGGAATACTCCAAAACCCACAACTTTTTGAGTGGCAACATGATTGCCACAGATGGAAAGTTGAATACCATGAAGTTCTGTTTCATTAATTTAAAAAAAAAAGGTATTTAAAATACTATATAAAATTACCATCAAGCTTTGCATATAAAGTTGTACTGGTTTTATTTCTATTAACATGATACAATTCTTCTTAAAAGCAACTTCTGAGAGAAAGGGTTTGTCTTAGTCAGGGTTTCTATTGCTGTGAAGAGACACCATGACCACAGCAACTCTTATAAAGGAAAACATTTCATTGGGGCTGGCTGACAGTTCAGAGGTTTGGTCTGTTATTATCATCATTGCAGTGGTATACAGGCAGACATGGTGCTGGAGAAGGGGCTGAGAGTTCTACATCTTGATCCACAGGCAGCAGAAGCAACTGTGTGCCTCACAGAATGTTGCTGGAGCATAGAAGACCTCAAAGCCCACCCCCAACGGTGATGCATGTCCTCCAACAAGGCCACACCTGCTCCAACGAAGCCACACCTAATAATGCCACTCCCTTTGGGGGGCATTTCCTGTCAAAGCACCACAGGGTTTATTTTAGTTCACAGCTCCAGGTTACAGTCCATGGTGACAGGGAGGTCAAGGCTGCAGGAAGTTCAAACGGTTCACCACATCCACAGCCAAGCAGAGAGAGAAATGAAGGTATGTATAACTCTTATGCTCAGATCACTCTACATGCACACAATCCTGGACTCCCAATCCCAGAGAATGGTGGATTTTTCCACTGCAATTAATGTAATCAAGACAGTCCCCCATGGGTCAACCTGATCGGTCAGTCTTTCGTGGAGACTCTCTTCCTGAATGACTCTAGATCATGTCAAGCTGACAATTAGAACCATCACAAAGATATATATGGAACATAATGAAGTCTAGATGAGATGGGAGTTCCTCTCTCCAAAATAATTTATTATGCTATGCAAATATCCCTCAAATCTGAAAAAAAAAAAAGTCCAAAACACCTCCCGTCTCAGATTTCAGATAAAGGATATTCAACCTGTGTTTTCTCACTTTATAGGGTTGAAAATTTGTAGTTATAAGTAATCATAAATGAAGGACAAGACCAGTGGATCTTACATCAACCACCTCATGGAAGAGTTCTCGCAGCATTTGGATGTTTTCACAGGGAGGAGAGGCAGGTAGGCTCCACAGATAAGAGCACTCATCTCCCCCAAAGACAAATAGACAGGGCAGAGAAACAGGTGGAGTGTCCCAGGATCCCACCCTGCAGTCTGAGGTTCCAGGGTTCCCTGGTCCCAGGGGCAGCAGCTGTCAGGTCCCACAGAGAGATGGCAGCCCAGAGCCTCAACTGTCCATCTCTCCAGCCACCCAAGGTGCAGGATGAGTCCATTGCCCAGGGTCGGCTCTTCCTCGCCACACTATCACACGCCTCACTTTATTCTTCCGTCGCCATCCCATTCAGGTTGCTTCTATTTGCCTCCATCTTGTTGATAAGGAACCGGAGACTCAGAGCAGAACAGAGCTGTGAGTGGACGCTCTGCGGAAGCTGTTCTCTTTTCCTGTCTCTTCACTCACTGTAAACTCCTAGAGTGTGGAGGCTACACTTTTTTTTTTAATCCTTGAATCCTAAATATAAAAATCATTCCAGAAACAGTTTAGTAGAGATACTTTTCAATGAAGCATTTATTGCAACCTAGTGGTGTAGGTATAACAAACATGCCTTCTTTCTCCTAGTAAGGTATGAAGCCCTCTTTTCCATGCTTCTGTGGCCCCCAGGATTCCCAGGCCAATAGTCGGTCTGGAGGAAATGGTTGGAAAGGCAGAATGATCCCTGCAGCCTGGCAATGGTACGTGTCTCTATAAGAAAGCAGAGCATGCTTGCCACACACTCTCTCAGATGGAATGCAGTTTCACAGTGGCACAGAACTCAGATTTATGATGTGCATGCTGATTTCTTCAACTGTTGACATATGTCACTTTTACACTTTTACAAATCATTTTCCCTCTGTCATTGAAAAGTCCAGTGGGGATGCTGGCAATCATACTCATTTTTCCATCCCTCCACAGGTTCCATTCACTCTGGCGTTAGACACTGGAAGGGCTGGGATCCTTCCCCATCCGGTGACATCAGACTCCCCAGAGCCTGTCAATAAGTTGGCAGAAGCCTTCTGAATTCCCTGAGAACGCCAAGTGCCTTGGTCCTGGCAAATGGCAAGGCTTAGCACTCTCAGGCACATCGGACAAAATCGATTGGTTAACGAACGGGAGGTGGGGAGGGCCGGGGAAATGCAAAGTTTAATTTCCTTCTCTGGTTCCCTGCCAGCTGCAAATGACAGCAGATGCTAATACATTTCCAACAGCCAGTTTCACACACTTGTACTGTACAATCTGGGTTTTCATCAAACCCTGGGAAGCTAAAATGGTAAATTGTGACTGCCCAGGGCTGGCATAGTCCCGGTGGACATGTTCACAGGGCTTGACCCTGGCAGCTCCATCAGATAGCAGCTATTCGCTAGCCTGGCCCGAGGTCCTCCCACCTGGAGTGGAGTGTCAAAATGTCTGCCAGGAGCAGTGTGTCACTGAAGCCACCATGAATTTTTAGTTAGGCTGGCAATTTCCAAGGGACTTTAGGAACAAAAAAGATCAGGAGGACTCAGACAAATCAGGCGCACAGCAATTGGGTTTTTCATAGGCACGCATCTGTGTATCTCTAACCAGTTCCTGACATGTGGATACCTGTCTTCCAGTAGAAGAATAGGCCAGCCATGGCTTGGATGAGTTAATTGAAACAATGACCAAACAGAGTGGGCTGACACCTAACCATGTCATTCTAAGGCCTTCCTCCCTGACCAGGGGCTGGGAAAATGCACCCCCCACACCCCTCAGTGCCCACAAGGAAGGGACTCACATGACGGAGGCAGTGTCAGTCTGAATGGAGAATCCTACAGATTAGCTTCTGACTCAGCCCTTTGAGGACACGGTGCCAGGTTCCTGGGGCGAGGGAGACTGTGATTAAATGGGTACAAATAAAGACTCGCAGCATCTGAGGTGTTGAGAGCTCTGCAGACACTGACACAGATGGAATCTTCCCTTCCCCACCTCCTCTTGTAGAGAGCAACAGAACAACAAGAGTGGTCACCATGGCTACTGGCCTTTCCCCAACCCCAACCTAGCTTTTCTCATTGCCAACCCTGATTCAATTATATGGTGAGGCTCTGGAGCAGGTAATTGAAATAAGACCAGATTAAAAAGGCTAGGATGCCGGGCGGTGGTGGCGCACGCCTTTAATCCCAGCACTCGGGAGGCAGAGCCAGGCGGATCTCTGTGAGTTCGAGGCCAGCCTGGACTACCAAGTGAGTTCCAGGAAAGGCGCAAAGCTACACAGAGAAACCCTGTCTCGAAAAACCAAAAAAAAAGGCTAGGATGACCAACACGAGACCCAACTGCAATTTGTTTGGTTTGTTTTGGGGTTTTTTGTTTGTTTGTTTTTCAAAACAGGGTTTCTCTGTGTAGTTTTGGTGCCTGTCCTGGATCTTACTCAGTAGACCAGGCTGGGCTCGAACTCACAGAGATCCAGAGATCCACTTGGCTCTGCCTCCCAAGTGCTGGGATTAAAGGCCTGCACCACCACTGCCTGGCTCAACTGCAATCTAATAAACATATTGGAAATGTTTGTGGTTAATGATAGATCCAAGGATATCCCCCTTATCAGGGGGTACCTCTGAAGTACACCAGAACCAAAATGACAGGTATCCAAATGGACCTGTCACTCAATATATATGAAACACATACATGCACACACATTCTGTCTCCAACATAATGAAAAGAAGTTGGGTGGGACCACTTTTGGAATTAAGAAGGAGATTCCATTTCAAAGACCTCAACCTTGACTTGGGGTTCCCAAGGAACTATTCTGAAAAGAGGTATATGTTCATTGCTTTGAGCATATTCTCCAAAAGGAATGTTTCCCATAATGATTCAAAAACTATGATCTGGGGACCAAGGAGGTAACTCGGCAGGTAAAAGTGCAAGCCTGGCGGTCTGAATTTTGAACCCTGGAACCCACATTAAAAAAAAACAACAACCCGATTTGATAGTGCGCATCTGTAATCCCAGCACTCCAACAGTGAGATGGAGCCCAGACAAGAGAATCAGCGGAGGCTGCCAAGCCAGCTAGCCTGGAGCACACAGAACACTAACAGAAACAAGAGAGAGCTGGTCTCAAACAAGGTAGAAGGCTGAACTGGCTCCTAAAAGTTATCTCCTGACCTCTACACATGCATGCGTGCGCGCATACATATCATACATATACATCATACATAGATACACACACAAAAAAAATAATTAAGTGAAAAGAAAGCTGTGGATGTAACTCACCCGAAGCTCTTGCCTAGCATGTGTGAGGCCCTGGGTTCAGTATTACAAAATAAGTTAAATGAATAAATAAATTGATCTGCAGGCAGAAACTGGTTGTTCGGTTGGTTGTTTGGTTGGTTGGTTTACAAACAGACCAGTTGTCTGGCATCCCTGCTCAGGTATAGAGTGAGGCTGGTCACCTCAGGGACAAAAGATAAACAAATTAGGAGTCCTTTGAGTTCCACTGCCTCTGTAATTCATCAAAACTGCTAAGGCCCACCTTCTCACAAGAAGCTTGCATGGTTTGTCTCCGCAGCCTGTTTATTACAAAGGCTGGTGACTTCACATTTGCATTGCAAATAGCTCTTTTGTGTTGACATTTCATTTGGACTTGAAGGGCCCATAATATTTGTCCACAGTTTGGGCGGGGTTAGTGGCTCCCATCCAGAAACCAGTATTTATTCATGTACTCAAAATACAACAGATGCTCAGTAACTCTAGTTTGAATGAATGAGTAAACGAAGGAATGAATTTGAAGATGGGTTTCCAACTTTGCAGAAGTAGCACACATTCAACTGTCTCTAAACAATTATGAAGGTAAAACGCTGGGATTTTTTTAAGATTAAATTCTCGTATTCATTATTTATTCATCCATCTTTACAAATGTTTGCTCAACACCTCACTTAATTCCCGTGACAAAATGGGATCCAGGGACCCCATCACATTCCACTTTGCATCTTTAGTATTTCCTAGTATGTGTGAAATGCTCGATAAATATTTGTTTAGTGGAAATGGGAATTTCTACATGCCATTTCTTTCTCAAGGACATGCCAAACACATTCAAGCTGAGAACTTGATTTATGCAATTCTGAAATCAAGTAAAATACTAGCACAGACACAGCCTTAGTGGCCCTTGATGTGTGCAACACACAGACTTGAAAAGTTGTAGGGACCCATTCTTAGATTATTCTGGCACCGAGGATGCAGAGCTGAACCTGGCCTGTAAGTCTTACTGAGTGATAAAGAAAAGGGAGATCCAATAGCACAGCTATGGGGGGAAGTGAGTGGAGCCAGCTCCCCAGAATACTTATAATATTATCATTAAAATATATATTATCTTATATTATAAAATCATATTGTTATATATTGTTATATTATCATATAAAGTATATATTATTACAAATATAACATATCCTCTTATAATGTTTAATATAAGAGTGATATTTAACAGAGACTAAAGGATAAAAACTGATAGCCATGCAAAGGAGGCAAAGCTTCCTAGAACCTATGATCAAACCTGAGAAACACCCCATCCAGAGTTGATCATACTACCAAGAAACCTGGAGGTCATGTGACTCCATCATATGACTCCATCCTTGTGTTGAAGGCCTAGGAGAAGTTTGAAGGGAAGAAATAAAGCATCTTGAGCCATTTTTTTTTCTGTCTCCCTGTCTCTCCCTCTCTTTCTCAATACGATCCTTAGTAGACCCTGAGAAGCGTGTTCTAGTTTCATTATTGCCGCTTTAATAAAAACACTCTGACCACAAAGCAAATTAGGCAGGAGAGGATTTGGGCGGGCGGGTGGGGGGGGGGGGGAGTCAGGACAGCTTCCACTGTCTGTCACTGAGGCGAGTCAGGGCAGGAATTCAAGCAGGAACTTGAAGCAGAAACTGTAGGAAGGAATGGTGTTTGCAGGCTCAGTGGCAGGCCCATGCTTAGCCAGCTTTCTTATACAGCCCAGGACCATCTGCCCAGCACCACGCTGCCCAGTGGGATGGGCCCTTCTCCATCAACTGACAATCAAGGTAATTCCATACCCCCGGACGTACTCACAGGCCCATTTAATCTTGCCAGTTCCTCAACTGAGACTCCCTTCGCAGGTGACTTCAGGCTGTATCGAGTTGACAGATAAAGTAACTAGAACAAAGGCACTTGATGGGAGGGAGTTTTTCATTGAAAAGGAAAGTATGTCTGAGACCTAAAGAGAGGAGGTGATGCAGTGGATCCATCCGAGGAACAGGCAGAAACTCACAGGAGGAAAGGGAGGAGAGACAACATTGTTGAGGAGGCAGGCTAAGCCTGCAGAACCCTTCGGTTCGTGACAGAAATTCAATCCAGTTCCTAAGAACCAGAGGACATGGAGATGGCTGAGCTGGTGTGTGACGTCACTACACTTAAAATTTTGAAATGTCTCTGCCTGCGGGATCCTCACCAGGACTCACGTGTTCAGCTTAGCCATGATGGTAACTCAGGCTGGGGGAGGGGGAGTGGAGGGGAAGGGGGTGGCAAATATCACAAAGCAGATGAATTGAAGAAACATCAGGAGACAGACCCTGATGAACCTTGGGGCATTTCTTGACCTACTGCCATGTGCCACCCAGGGACTGTCTTCTTCACCTCTCCACCCACCCTCCGAGGGTGTTCCTATTCTTATCTGCCTTTCCCCGAAGCAGAAGCTGGGCCGTCAAGCAGAACCACCCAGCTTGTGAGTGGCAGGGCTGAGATGCCAGCCGAGCAGCAGGTACCAATCCTCTTAGTCTTCCCTCTTCATCATCATGTCACACTATTGAGGTTTCTGGCTTGGGCAGCAGGGAGAAGGATGGCACCATTTACTGAGGGACAGCACATAGGAAGATGCATGAATCTGAGTGGGAAGGAAACCCATGTGGGAGGTACATTCAAATGCAAATAAGGAGCAAAGAGTGTAGAATTCAGAAGACTGATTTGAGGAGCAGTGGGCACAAGACAGATTTGAAAATCTGCCGAAAATAGGCAATAATCACAGTTCACCCTTTCCCTCCTTTGGAAGGATGCTGAGTTTGGATGCAGCCTCACTGCTTTTGGAGTGACGTGGAGCTGAGAAGATGTCAGTAAAAATTAGACTACCTGGACCAAGGTCCTGGGAGTTCCATTGAGGTCTCAAATGGATCTCATCCATCTCTGATCCCACATCATACTCAACAGCCACTCAAAAATCACAGCACCAGGCTCCTGGTGTTCTGGGAGCCCAGCCTTCCCAAGCCATCTGGGTACTGATGCTTCATGTCTGTGACACAGACACAGACGTTGTGCCGCTTTCATACAGATTAACTCCTCCTTAAGAAACTCACATCTCCACGGCGCCTGCCAAAATGGTAACAGACAGATAATACACTGTCATTAACACAACCCTGTCTATTTAAAAACTCTCTGGAGAAGCAAGCAGATGAGCCTTGGAGTTAGCTCAGTCGTGGGAATTATTGTTTGGCTAATTATAAACGGCGCTTGACAGACTGTAGCAGATACTAAGAGGGGACAACCACCCTGTCTGCCCTAAAGGTTGTGGTGTGACTGTCAAAAGCCTCCAGCACAGTACTCAAGACATCTGGAAATCAGTACTTGGGAGGCCGAGGCAGAAGGAATTTAAAGACAGACTGTGCTTTGTAGAGAGACTCTGTCTCAATAATAGTAGTAGTAGTAATAATAATAATAATAATAACAACACAGAAACTTAGAGGGGCCATGACTCCCCGGCAACCAGCAGTCCGTACCCCCAACCCCCCATGGTCTCATGTTCCATATTTGTCTGTTGTATGAATTTGAGGTTGGACCTGTTTGGTAATAAAATACGGTCTAAATGTGAAAGTTTCAAAGATAGATAGATGAATGACTCTGCAATTTCCATATTTGTCTTTTGAGTGACTAACTGGGCATACCCAAATGGTGCCATAGAGAGAGCACACTCAAACAATCCTTTGAAGAGGCCCATGTAGTCAAGAACTGAAACCCCAGACAGGCGCCAGTTCCAGCCTGCCAGTGCTGCATGACTTTCCCTGGGAAGCCCACGACAAGCCGTTCACCCCAAATAGTGCGGTGACAATAGACCAGAGGAAAAGCTTCCACCTAAGTCTAGCTTAGTTTCTTTGGGGTTCTTCGGAGTTGCTTACAGGGACACGGTGAGGAGTTAGTTCCAGGAGCATGGGTTATTCTAAAACAGTTGCATCACCAAGAAGCCCACTCTGCTTGGGTGATGAGCCTGGAAAGTTGTAGCCCTAGAAGCTGCCTGCCCAGCTCCCAGACTGCTCTGCCAAAGTGGCCTCTCCCCCAGCAGGGACTTAGGAATCTTGTCATTTTATGAGCTTCCGGAGTCTTTGAACCTTTTCCTCCCACAGCTAGGAAGGACACATGCAACCAGGGTTTAGCTTCTCTGGCCAGTCTACCTTCAAAGCTCCATTTTTTCCCTTGCTGTGCCGAGCTTCCCTGGAGATAACACAGGACTCTCTCCAGCTCTGTGGCTGAGGAAATGGCCTGTCACCCCAGGCTCATTTTCTCTGCTGCAAAGTCACTGGCTTCTAAGGTCCCAGATATTTCTAACACTCTTTAAGACCATGCTCTGTCTCACTATCAATAACATCTGCCTTCTGTCAAGAGCAGGTTGTTCTCAACGAGTTCCCTCTGGAGCTAGCTTCAGCTCTCATAAAGAACTGGCTTCAACTGGCAAGGGGGCCTTAAGAAACACCAAGGGTGTGGTAGTGCATACCTCTTATGCCAGCACTCAGGAGTCAACGGCAGATAGATCTCTGTGAGGTCAAGGCTACATAGTGAGTTCCAGGAGAGCCAGGGCTACACAGAGAAACCCTGTTCCCCAAAAGCAAAATAAAGATATATAGATGATTGATTGATTGATAGATAGATACATAGATAGATAGATAACTAGATAGATGAATGATTGATGATAAATAGATAGATAGATTAGATAGATGATAAATAGATGAATGATTATGATAGGTAGATAGATAGATAGATAGATAGATAGATAGATAGATAGATAGATAGATAGATAGATAGATAGATAGATAAACAGATCCCTGAAAGAGTGGAGAAATTTAACTTATGAAGAAAACAGAAATTCTCTTTCTAGAGCTTTTCAAAACAATGTAATGAACATTGTCTGCCCAGGAGCTCTTACACTAGCTGAGAAAATCAGACAGAAGTAGAACTAGGTTGGAAAGAATAAGATGCTATGTGTTCACCACCAACCCAATTTGCCCTTTCTTGTCCTGAGTCTAGAACACCTGCCCACTGATGGGTAGCTACTTCATCCAAAGACTCCAGAATCATTAATCCCACCATTTACTAACAACTGCTACCTGGAGGTTTTCAAAACTGAAATTAGAAAATCTCCTCAAAGGAAAGCTGATGGTATCACTTCTACACATTCCCAGTCTTCTAGAACTTGGGGCTTTGTTACGTCCTGCTGACACTTTACGGTTTCCCCAGGAACTCTTCTCTCCCTCCTCTCTCTTCGCCTTTGTCTGTTTCATGCTTCCTTTCATTTCTCCTCTCCCTCTACTCATCCCTTCCTCCTTTACTCTTGGCTCTTACATACTCTGTGCCAAGACACAAAACGAAATGAAAGACATAGGGGCACAAGTTTAACACACACACACACACACACACACACACACACACACACACACACACACACATACACACACAGTTAAGTGTGCAAGATCTCTAGAATAAGCCAATAATTATGACCTTGTGTTATTACAAGGGTGAAGACAAAATGAATAGGAACAGAGAGGGAGGGATGATATCGGAAGACAGCAGGAAAAGATTTGTGTCAACAACTGAAGTAAATAAAGAAGTGTTTCCAAGTTAACCGGTAAATTTGCTCAAGTGTGGAAAGCCTAATGTCCTAGAAGTGGTCTATAATGGAAGCACAGCTAAAAAGCACAGATGTTTTATAGCACTTGAACTCCAGGTGTTTATTTGGTGGGCTCTGTGTGAGGCACAAAATCTTCTGAGTTTGGGACAAACTCACACACACACACAAAAAAAGTTCCATGTGTACATAACAGAATAATTGGCAGACACACATTTTCTTATATTGAATTTTTCTTTATAGAAAAAAATATCAGTCCCTCAACAGGAAATTCCAGGCACTGAGTATCCTCTACTAGAGAGAGCAGAGAGCTTTATTGTGTAGAACACGGAAGTGTTCTAATACTCAACCTGATGATAAGTTTTTTTCACCTTCTTTCAGATCATTCCCATTCATCTTTCTAATTCCCT